GCTAAGGGTTCTTTTGATCTTTTTTATATAGGTTGCACTACATGACAAGGCACTGTATAAGATTTCTTGTTTTTTTATTTATATTTTTTATTTTTTCAGTCTACAGATTTATGATGCAAGCATAAAAACATCATCTTGGGCACAATAAACTCTGTTTTTTAAAGCCATCCATTTGTCGAAACTACTGAAAAATTCGTTTCGTTTAACTTTCGAATCCTTAATCAAGCTGTGCATGCATATGCATTTAATTCACCTGTGTAGGCCGTTTTCATGCTTTCGAAGTTGCACACAATTTGGACAAAAACTCAAGCGGCCGAGGGGTTCGCCAGTTCAAGACTTCCCTTCTTCAAAGGCTTGAACAGGTAACTTTACTATTTTTTTTCTTAAAGTAATGACAAAAAAATAGTTAAAAGAAATCACCGACTTTTGTTACCTTAGGATGAAGAAGTTACGATTAGGAAAAGGAGGGAAAAAAGCGATTTACGCGAGCTTCGCCGTGTGTATCGGGTGTACAAGGACTATATCATCAAACATGGTGGAGAATATACACAAGAAACAAGGTTAGTAAAAAAAAAAAACATTTATGGGCTATATAAATTTATTATCTTAGTAATATTATTTTTTTAACTCATTAATTTACATGCATTGGGTTCTTTGTTACAGAGAGAAGCTGATGAAAGCACGCGCGATTGCATCCGTTTTGTTCGAAGTACTTAGTACAGTTACCTCTGCAGCAGGTTCTCAGGTTCTTTTCGGGTGCCATTTTCTTCTTTTTGCCTTAAAAAGACAAAAAAAAAAAAAATAGAAAAATTAAATAAGTCGATAACTTACGTTCTGAATAGGCTCTTGCTGATGCTGATCACTCGAGGTCCGAATTTTATGTGCCGTATAACATTCTTCCTCTCGATCAAGGAGGAGTTCATCAGGCGATAATGCAGCTTCCTGAGGTTAATTTAATGCTCTCTAAAAGTAGACATATTGTCTCATATTGGTAAAATCATTTTAACTTTTGATAAATATGTAAGAATTTTTTTTGTTCAGATAAAATGTGCAATAGCTGCTGTTCGTAACGTTCGAGGATTGCCTTTCTTGGACGATTTCAAAAGCCGCCAGGCGTACATCGATTTGTTCGATTGGCTTCAATTTTGCTTCGAATTTCAGGTGCCATTTTCGGGATTTTCCCCCTTCCTTTTCATTGATTTGTTTATATATTTATTTATTATTTATTTATTTTGGTCTACTTTTCATCAGAAAGGAAATGTGGCCAACCAGAGGGAGCATTTAATCCTCCTGCTGGCTAATACACATGTTCGAAAAGCTCACAAACAAACACGAAAGGTATATTTAGTAAAGATTGTTTCGTTTTTCGTTTTGGTACCATCTTTTGACAAATGCCTTTCATTTTCGGATATTTAGTTAGAAGATGGAGCTGTGGATGAGCTTATGAAGAAATTCTTCAAGAACTACACGGATTGGTGCAAGTTTCTCGGTAGAAAAAGCAACATTCGGTGAGATTATTAGATTAACATCCCATCACTCACGTTACGATGTTTTCTGCTTATTTGCTTGTAATAACAGTCCAAAATATTCATGTGCTTAGCTTATAAATAGTTGAGGATATTTTGGTTTGAAGTGTTGTATCTTGGTGCATATTGTGTTCGTGTAATTACTTTGTTAATCTAAAAAAGTAATTATGTTAGTGTTTGCTTGTAATAACATCAAACAGTACTTTTTTTTCTTTTTCATATCTTTCAGGTTGCCGTATTTAAAACAGGAAGCCCAACAGTATAAACTTCTGTATATAGCGCTTTATCTCTTGATATGGGGAGAGGCTGCAAACTTAAGGTTTATGCCGGAATGTCTTTGTTATATATTTCACCATGTAAGAATAGTCAAATCTCTCTTTCGCGCATCACGTTTTATAATATGTGGTTAATATGTTCGAATGTTTTTTTTACAAATTTTATGTTTAATTTGCAGATGGCAAGTGAACTTCACGGCATGTTAACTGGTGCTGTAAGTTTAACGACTGGAGAAATAGTGAAGCCAGCATATGGAGGAAAACCCGAGGCTTTCTTAACTGATGTTGTTTGTCCGATATACGAAGTTATTTGTCAGGTACTTCAGAATCTTTCACTCGATCGACGGTAAAAAGTGTTCATACTTTCTTTTGATTATTACTAATTTTTTTTTTTCCTTTTTGCCTGCCCAATTACTGAAGGAAGCTATGAAAAACAGAAATGGGACAACCGATCACTCGACGTGGAGGAACTATGATGACTTGAATGAATTTTTCTGGTGAGTATTTGTGAAAAAATCTTATCTTTATATATTAATGGTGAGTTTTATAGTAAAATGTATTATTGCTCATTGAATTTTTTCAGGTCTCCCGAGTGCTTCGAGTTGGGTTGGCCCATGAATTCGAATCACGATTTCTTTTTTGTCGACACTTCGAAAGATGACAAAGAGAAGAGAACTCGAACACCAAACAGAAGTCGTGAAGAAGAGAAAGATGAAAACGTTAGAGATGTGGAAATGGGAGTAAGCTAACTTAATCATTGAGTTGGAAAGTGATAATCTTGATTCGACATGATTAAGCTAACATAATTATGTCATTCTCTCTTTTTTTTCTTTTTTAGGCCAATGTTGTTAAACCCCAAGAACCAAAATGGCTCGGCAAGACGAATTTTTCCGAGATCCGTTCATTTTGGCAGGTTTTCAGAAGCTTTGATAGAATGTGGAGCTTCCTTATTTTATCCCTGCAGGTAATTTTCGTGTTTTTCTTTTTCTTTTGTTTTTCTTTTTTTGCTGCAAAAACTAAAAAATCTCATAACCGAACCTTCCTTTTCACGATGGAAAAAAAAATCTCGCAGGCAATGATAATTATGGCCTCACATGAATTGGACTCTCCTTTAAAACTGCTCGACACGACTGTACTCGAAGATGTCATGAGCATTTTCATAACATCAGCTGTACTTAAACTCATCCAAGGTTCAATATATCAATTTTTTTTTCTAGCTCTGTTCATTAGAGTTAAAAACTTACAGTTAAAACCCATCTGAAAATTTTTGAATTTGTATACAGCAATTCTTGATGTAGCCTTCAAATGGAAAACGAGACGCTTGATGGACTCCACTCACCGTAAAAAAGATTTGCTCAAGATAATCGAGGCGATTATGTGGACCATTGTTCTTCCTATTTATTACTCGACTTCTAGAAGAAAGTATACGTGTTACTCTACGCAAGATGATAATTGGATAAAGGAATGGTGCTATTCTTCCTATATGGTGGCTGTTGCGTTTTACTTGATTCGAAATGCAGTAAATATGGTCCTTTTTTTCGTGCCGGCAGTTGGAAAATATATCGAGACTTCTAATTCTCGATTATGTACAATTTTGTCTTGGTGGGCTCAGGTAAGATTTTCTTTTTTCTTTTTTTTTTTCT